AAAACATTATCTTCTTAATGTACAGTGTGTCATTTCTAAAAGGAAGTACTGGATAAAAATGCATCTCAGAATAATTTTTAAAACTTCACAGATCAGAAGCACAAGGCAAGTTATTAAAGTTTTTTTAAAAAGTCGGCAGATTTATCATCTTCTAAGCTTAACTTCTAACAGGACAAAGAAATTTTTACTGCAACCTCTCCTTTGGTGCTTTCATGAACCATCATACTATTGAATAGATGGATAGGTTCAGCTCTATCCTGGAGGAAAATTCTCACAGAAACAGAACCATTCAGCCAGGAACTGTGAGAACAGGTGCTAGTCTATACTAGCCAAAAGATGTTGGTGAGACAAACTGGTTAGTTATCTCTCTGGGTCTCACTCACAATACCATGAGAGTCTAGACTATTTGACCTTTCCTTTCTTTCTTTTTTCTTTATTTCTTCCTTGCTTCTTTTCTTTTTCTTTCTTCTTCTTTCTTTCTTTCCATTCTTTCTTTCTTTTTCTTTTCTTTCTTTCTTCCTTTTTCCTTCTTCCTTTTTCCTTCTTCCTTTCTTTCTTTTTCTCTTTCTTTCCTCCTTTCTTCCTTTCTTCTTTTTTTCATTTTTTCTTTTTCTTTCTTTCTCTCTCTTTCTTTTAGCTGCCAGAGAGTATATGTGCTCACCAGAGAGAGGCAGAGAGATAGAGAGAGGTGGGAGAGGAAGAGAGCATCCTTCAATGGAGGTGTGATAATGCCACAATTCCTTCACTTCAATCCCTTCAACTCCTGTTAGGATTTGGGGCACACATGCACATGTCCCTGACATGTTTCTCAAGCCACCAGGACTGGGATTTGAAAAAGGGTCATTCATGTGGGATCTGGCTACTTTTACTAATAGGCTAGGGGGCAGCCCTAGACCATTTGATCTTTAATCTCTCTTCTAATTCAGCATTCTATGGAATTCTCAAGACTTGAAGGGGCTTGACCTTCGTCTCATTTCATTCCACAACCTCCCATTCCACAACCATTCTTTACAAGTGCTTTGACTAGCTATGGTAATGACCAGTTAAAACTCACTATTACAGACCATTTTAATTATTCTGCACAGAAAAAAGCAATCCCCAGTTCTGCATCTCCTGCCCAGCAAGGCTTCCAAGCATATCCAGATGTCCTGGGCCACCAGCCAGCCAGTGCTCTGTGGGTGCTCCATAGAGCCTCACACAATTAGAAAAGTGAATCTTCCGGAACAATAACAATAGCAGCAATGAATGTCAAAGCTAAGGAGAAATTATTTTTAGATTTGCTATCTTGATTATCTGCATTACTGCTCACATCCGCATGTCCTCAAGAAGAATGTCAAGTGAAGTGAAATCTGAGGATACAAGAGTCTAGAATATTGTAGATTATTCCTAGTCCAGGGAAGGTAGGAAATATAGGAAAAGGGGTAGGATGTGTCTCATGCTGGCAGGATTTTTTGGGAGGGGTATAAATAAGGAAGACTAGGGACCAGCAGTTAATGTAATGGCTATGTCGCTGGACTCCCATGTAGTTGACCACGGTTTGAGTCCCGGACCAGGTGGCTTAAATTCACACCAGGCACGTGTGCGTGCATGCCCAAGATCCCGAGAGGAGAATGGAGGAGAAGGGATTGTGGCGTGGCCATGCCCCCGGGGGGCGATTTCTCACTTTCTGTCTCTCTGTCTCTCTCTGCCTTTCTGACGAGCTCACACGCCCGATAGCAAACACCTCTCCAAGAAAAAAAAAGAAAAAAAGAAAAGAAATAAGGAAGACTACATAGTGGATAAGAACATGAACTATCAGGGGCTAGATTGCTTGGGTGTACACTTGACTTCATGACTACCAAGCTTATATGACACTGTATTTCTTCAGGCTTCAATTTTCTCATCTATAAAATGGTATAAGATGGTACTTATTGTTGCTAGAATTAAGTGAGTTCCATGTGTGAAGTCCTATGAGCATTTGCCCAGTACTCCCTTAAGTGTTAGCGGTTACTGTTAATGCTATTAATCACCTGGAAGAGTGAGGCTATCTGCTCTTCAGTCCTTGGGGAAGCAGGGTGGCTCAGGTAGGCCTTGTATATTCATCTCTCTCAAAAGCTTCTGCTGTGGAGACCCAGACATGAATCTCTGAAGCATTGAAAGTATCCTTTCTCCCTCCCCTGCTTCTGGAGAAAAGGTCCTTCTAACATACATTTCTGGAGTTTTTGACAACTCTTAAAATCTCTAAGCAGAACAGAAATACCCCTTAATCTCTTTTCAATGTAATGGATCCATTTGGCTTGCTTTACACAGCCGTGATTTTACTTAATTTATTTTTAGTTGTCAGAGGTAACTCTGCTAAGAGAAGAGCAGGGACATAGCACCCTCTGATAGGGGGTGGTCATGCTACAATCACCTCTCCTCCATTTCTCCATCCCATTGAGATTTTGAAAATGCATAAGCATGTACCCGGCATGTTTGTCAAGTAGCCAGAGACAGGACCTGAACCAAGGTCGACCAGGTGGGATCCGGTTTCCCTTAACAACTAGGCTATAAGCCCAGCCCCACACGTTTTAAAACATGATACACCTTGAGGTTCTAATTACTGAGGCTGCCACATGGCCTTTCCTGTCATCTATGCTGCCATGCAGTATAAACATGAAGGG